CTAAGCTTGAGGTTGATGGATGATCATCCACAGCTATTTAAACTCACTGTACAAGCCTTCCCCTTCAGAGGAGTAAACCCCTGCAGTGATCTCTCTGCAGGGCACATACGCATCATGTTCCATCTGCAGCCTATAATTTGAAACTTGCTGTGCAATTACACTGTGCTTTGTACACTGTTTACTTTTAAATCATGTACAGCCAATACCAGGCAGAATGATCTCTGGGACCTGTGTGTCCGTGTGGACCTCAGACTGGTTGTAAGTCAAGGTTTAACACCTGCACACATGCTTCACAGCTGAAATATAAACAAGTTACTTAAAGGTCAGTATTATGTTGTTAAACCCCATAAAGACCGCATTAGGTTACTTTTAAAACATATATAAAAGTAATTGTTAGGAGACAGCAGCAGACTGGATCATTCATCTCATCCTGTGTGAATAAAACATCTGGGACGTTCACTGTGACAAAACTGTAAAGAACCTTGTATTTTAGCGGCAAACAAAATCAAGACTTTTTGTCTCTTGCTCCATGTGATTTAGGGCACCTGAACACGACACCCACCTCTTGAGGGAGGAGGCTGACCACATGTACACGTTTCAGTGCACACTAATGCACTGCTTTGTCAAAAAGCTGATTCATTAAACACATATAAGAGTAAAGTTCCTTCTAAAAGGGAAAAGGCAGCAGGTTTCTTGCGTGCCACCGTGCCTCTGTCCTGTTTTGAAGCAACTTTACTCTTGATCGTTAGTGGATCTCTCGGTTTATTAAATGTCACTTCTCTTAGTGGTTGTAAATGTAAGACAAAGCTGACACTATAGCAGCTTTACACTACGCATCATAGGCTGCGTTTTGGAGCAAAGCACTAACATTTCAGGACTGACTCAGATTTCTCCAGTTGTCTTGTAGTGAGTGTACTGTAGCGTGAAGCTCATTTGGATACAAGAAAAGGACAGTAGGGTTTGTGTGAAAATTCACAGGCAAAGTGTGAAAACTGCTGAAGCTCTATTTTCACAATAATTCAACTATTACATGCCTCTTCTTGATTAGATGCTGCCAAACAAAGAGCATGTGTTTATAGGCTTCCTCAGCGGGTGGAGCTGGGGATTGTGACGGTGAAGCTGATCTGAAGTTCCTCTGGTCGGGTGATGACGGCTGAATAGAGTAGAGTAGGTACTTTATTGATCCCACAGTGGGGAAATTTCTGTGTTACAGCAGCAATAGAGAACAACCAACATAACACCATAAGAACAGAACTTCATAGAAACACGGAAAAGAACACAACGAGGACACAGCTGCTGTAACTTGCTACAGAGCTACAGTATCTTCAGAACAACTGAGCAACCTCCACGCCCCGAGGAAAACCTTGAGATGTGGTTGAAACCGCCAAAAATAAAAATAGGTGGATTGTGATCACTTTACAGCAGGGAACCTGAATTATCTTTGTTGAAAACAATGCACACATTACATCCTCTTTATTTAGCTCTGAATATTAGCAGTGTATTTACTGAGTATGTAATAGGGCAGAAATTAATCTTTATATTTTGGATTGAACAGTTTCATCACAAGGTCCATTTACTAGCTGTTCTGGAGCTTTCAATCGCATGACAAGATCTTCCTCATTGGAAGGTTTTTGTCCATTTCTCGGGAAATTGTAAGGGTTTAAATTTCTGTTTTTCTGAGTTCACATCTGTGTTTGCAACATCAACTCATCACAAGGTTGAAATTTAAATTTAAAGCATTTCAGCCAACATGGACAAGAATTTCTTAAAGTGCTCGGGTCTAGGAACGTGACTTGTTGTGAGACTGTTTTGTCAACTGCTTTTTGTCTTTCAGTCTCACAGTTAGACCCCATCTCGCTTTTAACACCACACATACAGAAGAGAGTTACATGTATATTTGGCTCTGCTGGTGCATTTGGTTCCAAGAATCGGCATCACAGTGACACATCTTAGTTTTTTTTTTAGCTCCTCTCAGGTGCAATAACACAAAAGCGGTTCCCCAGCAGAAGGCAGGGCAGTTCAGGTAACACAAAGCACGCCTGCTGGTGAGTCACCGCCGCCGCAGATTAACGCACTACGGCGTGCACCGTCTTCAGCGCCTCTGCCAGATGAGCAGAGCAGTGCTTTATTCCAATGAGTTCGTGCCAAGTCATGTCAGAAATTACATTAATTGCAGCAATTTCCACGCTTAGATGGCTTTTCTTGTCACTTAAATACCCTGGTGTATAATCACAGAGTTCTGGCTGAAAGTTGCGTCTGAGTCGGTCCCGTGAATCTGATGAGGACGGTGTGTGACAGCGGATCATTTAGGCTCCTGTGCTGTTTGAGCTGATGTGAATATCATCACTGTCGTCATCATGTCTCATATGTAGAAAACATACACACACTGTGCTGTCGCCCTCCATCTGCTATGTGCTTAACGCCACAGACGTCAGGTCCCCCACGTCTGCGTGTAACAGCGCGCATCACCAGCGAGGAGGACGCTCATCCGTCATGTTGCACCGCCCTGTGGCTCTGCATGTTCAGGGATCTCTGTTTAGATGGAGAGACGCACTGGCTGTTCTGCTGCATCAGCAAAGTGCTGGGTTATAGGGGTGAGCCTGTGCGCGTGTGTGAGCTGTGTCTGCGTCACTTAGCAGCAGGTGGACAGGCAAGAGAGAGAGAGAGAGAGAGGCTTCCTCTGTGCTGCAGCCCTGCAGCTCTGGGCTCACACCCGCCATCTGTGGTCTGATTTCTCACTTATTACAATCCTGTGGAGCGATGGAAGTTTGATGGCGAAAGTTTCTGGCTGGTTAATTACCAGCCCATGATTCATCCTGACCCTGTCTTCTTTGTGAGGCTGGGCTCACACTGACATTTGCTCTGGGTTAAAGCAACACATGGGGCTGTGTTGGTGGGGATGTGCTGTTCCATGTACAAGGGAGGCAGAGAATAGGATCCAGCAGCGGTGGAACACGTACTCAGATCTGTAACTTAGGTAGAAGTAACAATACCACAGCATAAAATTACTCGGTTAAAAGTAAAGGTTCTGCATTCAAAATGTTACTTAAGTAAAAGTACAAGAGTATTAGCATTAAAGCATCCTTAAAGCACTAAAGGTAAAAGTACTCATTATGCAGGATGGCACATTTAACATGAATAGTTTTTAACTGGCATATATGTCTATAATTTCAATTACTGCTGGGTAACTTGTGAATTTTCCACCAGAGATCAATAGAGTCTTATGATTACACTGTTGTTTTTGCATTAATCTGGTTCTGACAAGTAAATTCTAAAATAAATGTAGTGTTTGCCTCTAAAATGCAGTGAAGTCAAAGTAGCTCAAAGTGAAAATACTCCAGTAAAGTACAGATACCTCAAAACTGTACATAGGTACAGTGCTGGAGCAAATGTACCTAGTTACTTTCCAGCACTGGGATCCAGGAAGTCGTGTTGGATCAACAGATTTATGTCTTTAAAACTTTTTAGAAACACAGCCCAGTGGTTCGTAACCCCCACAGACAGGATCGTACAGCTCAGGAGAGTTTTCACAGCAGCAGCACATGTTTGTGATTGGCCAACGCAGCACTGAGGCCGCACCACGGGGGTGGGGGGGGGGACAAAATGAAGCAGTGCTTTGTAGATTGTGTTTTTCCGCAATGCAATGCAACATCATTGGACAAGGTGCTGCGTTGGCCAATCACGTACGCTACGTGCACATGTGAGACACTGGTCATGTAAGAAGACCAGAAACACACAGGGAGTCATAATCTGTGAGTCTGTACGTGGTCCGCTGCAGAGCGGGTGTTCACGTGTTCATGTCCAGACTGCTTTAATTGCAAAGTGTAATTAGTGGTAAGTGGAGTCCTGGTTTCAAATGGAACAGTTTTGTCTCTGTGCTGTGATTTTCAGAGGCAGGTCATAGGGGTCATTAATCATGTGCAGCTCTGAGTTTGGCTTCACGCCCTCCAGGAATCTTTC